ATATAATATTTATTTATTCATTTATTTATATATATATATTTATATATTTATATAATAACTATGTACAAGGAGGTTCTCCGTACCGTTCTCTCCTTTCCTCTCTCTCTCTCTCTCTCTCTCTCTCTCGCTCTTTCTCTCTTTCTCTGTGCGCCTCTGTGTGGTTGCTAGCCTTTCAACCCTCTCCGCCTCTTCGCTCTTTCTCTCTCTCTCCCTCTCTTTCTCCCTTTCTCTGCTCCTCGTTCCCTCTTTAATTCTCTATTATTTCCGTTACTTTCGCATTTATTATTTCGTGGCACTGTCGTCGACCTACCCTAAATCTCTCTTGCACCCTCTCTTTCTCTCACTCACGCTCTCCCTCTTCCTTTCTCGCTTCGTCCTCAAAGGTATTCACACGATTTGTGCCCTCATGTAATGTGTGTGTACGCGTGTAACTCCTATTTAAAAGGTGCGTGCGATGCTTAGACTCCCATTTCATTTTTTCCCTTCTTCCTTTCTTTCCCCTCCTCTCCCACCCACTCGCCACACCACACGTATACGCAGACCCACGCACACGCACACGCTCACGCACGCACACGCACTCGTGCACAGACAGAGTTTCCGGCTTGCTCAGACACACACATTCGCTTCGTTAATTATCCCGTTGCGAGCGAAACGTCCACTCGACCCAGAAAGGTGTGCCCAACCCCCAGCACCGGTTTCAGGGGGTGAGCCACCCCTTGGAAAATAGCTCTACTCCACGACACGATTTCTCCTGGCTTTGCTATTCCCTCTTACGTACGATGCTCCTGGGAGGCAGGAACGCGAAAAAGAACGAAATTGCCGGCGGTCCCATCGATTCCTGCCGTTTTGTACAGACTTTCAGGAGGCAGCGATCGAAGGGAGAAACTTTATCGGCGATCGTCTCGTAATTAGAAAGTGTGACGGGGATCGAGCCGAAACGGACTGTGCGCGTTGGTTCCTACGAAACGGCCGCTTTTAAGCAACTCCTCCTCATCGTTCCGCAGCGTCCTCTCGCTCCTCTGGTCGAGCAGAACAGGGTCGAGCTCCGAAGCCACCGTTTCCTCGAGATTCCGTCGTTACCACGGGGTAGTTGCTCCGTTGATTCCTAGAGACCGGTCGCGTCGAAGAAGCCCTCTGAAAGAATATCTCTCTTGGACCTATCATCCTCGAGACGACTGCTCCGTCGGCTCCAACGCAACCGGGGGATGCAATGCGTTCTACGATTCGGGATTGACATTCAAAAAGAGGAAGAGGAGAGGAGCAGTCGCGTCGAGGAGTATCTCGCGCACACACCCTTCAACAGAACCAACCGCGAAGAGCAGCTTCGCGACAGCGAGCAGCCTACAGCGAATCATCGAGCAAACAGAGTCCGCGGAAATCCGAGTCGGGCTCGGGATTTCGCGGTTGGTCTCCCAACTACCCCTAACTACGGAACTCGTGGCAACGGAAACTTCTTCCAACTACAAACCAAACCGGATTAAAACCACATGCCAAGATCGATTGTATCGTGTTTGTATCGCTGATGGGACCACCGGATCGTCGGAACACCAAAGTGAAGAGAAAAGAGGAAAAAGAGACGAAAGAAAGAAAAAGAAAAAGAGAAAAATGAAGAAGAAGGAAGGGAGAATGGGAGGAAACGTTAACCTAAGGAGATCTTCAGGGTGGATAGAGGAGGCAAGCGTTCGCTTGGTACCGGAGAGGGACGTCCCTCGAAAATAGCTTGGCTAGGAAATCCAGCAGACTCCGGTACCAGGATCGTCCTCGTCGTGCGACTGTTCGCCACGGGAACCCGAACATCGAGAAACACGCTGGTCGATTATCGTTCCAGGCTACTTTCTAACTAACTCGCGAACGTGAAAGTTAATCAGCGCCGAGGCTAAACGGTCGGTTACATCGGGAGGCTCGATCGCGATCGATCTTGCCGATTCACGGCGGATCGATAGGAAGTGCCTGTCGATACGGTACCGAACAGGGACTTTCTAATATTCGTTCTTCATGCATGGATGCCCGGTAGCATTGAAACGATTAAAAGTCGCTGGATCGATTTGCATTCGACTCGCGAATGCTTTTCGAGGAGATTAATGTTCCTCGATGGAATAACGACGCGATTAGATCTCTGCTGTTCAGAGAAACGTTCGTCGCTGTTTTCGTCAACGACGTTGATAAAAGGAAATGGCTGAAAGCGTGGAAGAAAATGCATCATTTTCTTCGTGAAACCGGTTTACCGATTTGAGAGATATACATGCTACGTGTATACCGGGGGGGAAAGAATCGGGAGGAATATATTTTTCTGACCACTTAGACTTCGTTAAGTGAGTGTGATAAATTAAAAGGCGCGTTGCTCGAATGGTCGGGGGTCCCGAAACGACTAGCCCACCCCTGGCACCTTTTCCCCGGAGAGGAGAAAGAAAATAGAAGGAGAGAAAGAAGAAAGAGGAACGATCTAGAAATGACTCGTGATCGGGATGCGTGCACACACACTGCAAACAGGTCTCGAAATTTCTACGGGATTACGCGAAGGAAGAGGAAAGGAGAGAGACACGGAGGAGGAGCGAATTGGAAGGACGTGCGAGCGTTGGGGAAGAAGCGGTCAGAAGGATGGAACGTCGCGCTGACCGTCGGAGATCGGCGCGGAAAGGCAAGAGGACGCAGGGAGGAGGAACAGGTGGACACGAAGAAGAAAAAAGAAACCGAGGAGAAATAGCGATAGTTTTGTTCCTAATCTCCAAGACCAGCCGGAGTTACTGCTTCTCCTTGAGTCCGCCGAGGAGAGCGTGGCTCTCCATCGTCGCGCTTAGGTTGCTCAGATTGCTCAGATTGCCTAGGTTCCCTAGGTTGCCTAGGTTTCCGAGGTTCGGTTGGTGCGCGTAGTTCCTGATCTGATGGAGGCTGATCAACTGATTGGGGAACGAGGTCGCGTTCTGGTTGCTGGTCGTGCCGGACGTCACTCCGGACGAGGAGGACGCTGGCGAGGATTTCTGCGTGGAGTTGAAGGCCTCGTAGAGGTACGGCCTGGAGGCTGGATGATGGCTGCCCGGGTAGTGCAGGTGGTTCAGCGGGTTCAACGGGTGTTGCATGGAGGAGATCGAGTTTATCGAGATCGAGGAGATCGGCGTGAACGCCGAGCTGCTGTTGGGATGATGATTGGCACCCGGTTGCGGGGTCTGTTGCCTGGAATCGTTCTCTATGGACTCGCCGCGGTGACCGTGGCCGGGCAACAGCATCTCCGGGTTCTGGTTCTGATGGTAGTCGGTATGGTGATGGGGCAGCCGGTCGTGTAGATCGCTGATCACCGAGTCCGGACTGACTTTCGGCCAGTAGTGGTCTTGATGATGAGCCGCCATCGCGTGGATCGACGGCCTGAGCCCGGTACCGATTATAGGAGGTCTCTTGTCCGTTCTCTCCGCGTGTTTCTGCATGTGCTTGGCCAGATAGGTCTCCTGGGTGTAACTCTTGCCGCAGTACTGGCAGATGTGCGTCTTAAGGTGCTTCGACTCCTTGTGCTTCGGTATGTGCTCGAGCAGGCTGGGCTCGTCGGAGAAGCACTTGTAGCAGGAGTTACACTTGTACGGCTTGTCGGTCTGGTGGCAGCGGGAGTGGCTCTGTAGGTTGCTCAGCTGGCTGAACGCCTTCGTGCAGCCTGGATGCCGGCACTTGTACGGTTTGTCACCGGTGTGCGTGCGGATGTGCTGCTGTAGGTGGCTCAGTTGGGTGAACTTCCGCTGGCAAATCTCGCAGCGGTACGGCTTGATGCCCAGGTGGATCCTGGTGTGCTGGGACAGGTACGAGGAGTTCGCGAACGCCTTCGAGCACTGGGTGCATTTGTACGGCTTCGCCTCGCGCATGTGGATCTGCGTGTGGAGCTGCAGGTCCGCCTTGCTACCGAAGATCTGTAATCAGAATGAACGACCACGCTGTTAATTCGTTACGACTCATTTCGTTAATTAATTACCGACAGCTGCCAGGCTAGATTAGAAAACCACTGACAATTCCTTCGCGATTATTTCCCAGTTATAGCATAAGCTGCGAGCGTAAGAACGAAAACGAAACGTGGCTACGTGGTACAAAGCCGCGTTCACGGGAAAATTTACGCCGGTTATAATTAAGATTCGCTTAATCCTCGTCACGATGAATCATTGACGGATCGGCAAGACGGCGAACGGGAGGAGAAGGCAAAGTCCAGGTTGGAACTCCGGAACTTTGCCTGGCGAAAAAAGGTATCCGACGAAGGAGTAACGGCGGTAGCCTTTTCGCCGCGTCTATTGCGCCGCGATTAACCGAATAATGAAAGAGAAGCAATCTACAGGTGAAGGGGTTCCATCGTCGTCTGGACTGTCCGGTCTCTTTCCATCCGTGTGGCCGGTTGCTCCGCTTCCTCCTTCTCTCTCTTGGAGACGGCGCATTAGCCGAGCGCCGCGGTATATTTATAAATAAATAAATGTAAACGAGGACTGGCAGTAGCCGGAGCATACGTGTAAAGCTGGGAGAGGATGACCTTGTCTATCATGGCCTAGCCTCCAGGCATACCTGACTGACTGGCTTTAGCTACCGCATAGAGATCTCTCTCTTTCTGTTCTCCTTCTCTCTTCCCTCTTCCTCTCTTAATTCCCCCTTCCACGTCTTTTTATTTCGTCTCTGTCCGTCTTTTACCTTCCTCTCTGCCCCTTTTTGTTCCTGCCCTCGGTGTCTCGGCTCCTCTTTGTACGGTAGTTCGTTCGTCGGTAGCCTTAAATACCTCCTCTTTTTGTTTCTCCTTTTTATTCTCTCCCCTTACTCCTCTCTCCCTCTCTCTCTTTCTGCCTCTCTCCGTAGCTCGACTAGCGAGACAGAACAAGAGAGAGCGAGAGAGAAAGAGAGAGAGAGAGAGAAAAGAGCAACGCCGCTCATTACCGCTCCTCCTGGTTCCTGTCGGTATCAATATTGACTCGGCCGGTGTTCTAATTTGTCCGATCTAATTGATACCCCAAGGAGGAAACGGATTCCGAGTTCTCGCGTGGAAACAAAGTTGCGCGACTTCCGGTGATTCCACGAACCAGCAACGATCGCGACCGGCAATTTTTGTCCGATGGACCGGTTTACAGCGGTGCCCGTTCCAGCCACCGAATCCTCATTAGACTCTGTCCTCCGTTCTTCCGTTCTCTAGCATCAGTCCACGTTCCCCGCTTCGATTTAATCGCGGCTAACGATCGTTCCAGCTCTCGTTCGAGCTCGCACTCGCGTTTCGCGATCGTTCCGTCCGTGGATTGCACTTTGGCGCATCGACGGTCGAAGATCATCGGGAATATGGAGGAGACACACCGAGGAGGATGCGAGAGGAGCGAGAACAGCGGGGAGAGCAACAAGTAATTCGCTCGGGTCACGAGATTCCATCTTGAAATTACAACGATGCGTGTTCCAACTTCTTGGAAGTCGACCGGTGCTACGCGAGCCATCATAGACGGAGGGTATCGCACCAGGACAACGCGAAGAATCATGGAAACTATCCTGGACACGCGAGGAGCGGTGCAGAGGCGGTCAGTTTCCTGGCTGATCGCGGATCACTCGAGATTGTTACGTAAAACGATGGATTCCTTTCTCGGATCACTCGCTGCCACGCCCCGGGATCACAGCAACGATCTGTGGCCTTCCGAGGATCATACTGTTCCGTCATAATCTCGGTTTTAACGACTGTTAGACACGCGAGAAATTTGTCGACGTTTCGAGCGCGAGGAACACTGTGAACCAAAAATGGTCACCAAAAAGGTACCAAATCGATCTCTTGGTTACCTCTGCGATCCAGATCTATAATATCCTATCCCGTTAGCAGAGTTTCTTGGATCTTCGTGTTCCCATCCAGCGTGATTTATAACGCTTCCTAGACAATTTAGCCGAAGCACCTGTTCGTTTGTCTACGTTTGACCCTGACTCTACCAATGCTCGCAGCTTCCGCTGGTTCAACGCTTGCCACGAGACCGACGCCAGCTCGAGAAAGAAGCAGCGTCTCGTTTCCACGAGTTGGCAGTCGCCGGTTTCGGAAAAAAACCTGACCACGAATTAGGTCGAACTTGTCACCGAAAAGAAACTCGAGCAGATTATCCCGCGAGCCAGTCGCAACATCGTCCAATAAAAGTGGCGGCGGAGCCTCCGGCAGGCAGCTTGGCCATCCATCGAACCGTTACGAATTTTTACAACCGTTATGATAATAATCCAGCTAAAGTCCGGTAGACTTCGTAGCCCAGGCTATCCGATCGATTAGTCTCGGTCTATCAGAGATCGATACATCTCGAATCGGAATAGCCGATTCGTATTTCCACTTTGTTCCGATCAAACAGCGTGATCCACGATTTCCATAAACTTCCACGGACCCACTCCCATAATCAACCATAATACTACATCCGAGCTTATAATGTAATACATTACGGCTCCCCATTAGGGATGAACAGCCGAGGAACTGATTCATGGCACGAAAGACCAAGGCCGAGACAATATGGCATATGGAAACTCGAGTCACCTCTTCGGTTCCATTCCGATTCCCTGCCATAATCGACGATAGTACTCTATCTAGCTTCGCGATACGTTACGCTAGACGTTTCCATTACGTTAGGGAGAAACCAAATTGGCGGAGAAATCGACTCGGGAAGGAGACGACGACGTGGCACGTCGAAGTCACCTGCACAGTTCCTACGAAATTTCGTTCGCGGATTTCCCCCGATCGGCGGAGAACGTTGCGGAATCGCGGAGCGATCGAAGCGGAACGAACGAATGCGCGAGATCCGCTCGATAATATCTTGTGCGTGAACGGAGACGCGCGAGGAAACGCCGGCGAGGTACGCAGAAACTGGCAGAAACTGGCAGGGACGTGTGAATCGCGTTCCATACGGTACCGTAACCACTATCCTGCCGCCTCGCTAGCCCCTGCGCGTCCTCTTTTCGGCCGGCAAACGGATAAGCCTCCTGGCCAAAGGAACGCCGGCAACGGGGGAAATACGATTACAGGAGTACGGGGACAGGCAGGAAGACGAGCTCGCGGAATTACAGGATCGCAGAGGGAAGAGAAAAATATGGGTCCTAGGTTGGAGAGGCTTATTGGATGAGGAACAAGCGCGGAGATGAAGGGTTCAGGGATGCAGCGCCGTGGGGCAAAGTAAAATAGGCTCCAGAGCTGGACTGGCTGTTCCATAAACCATGGATGCTACTTTGGGGCACGGTTCGGGGCACGGTTCCATCGTCTGTCATGCGTGGATAGATCATTCCACCGAGTTCCCTCTTATGACGTTTCAGGAGGAGTATTGACAGATTAATCGTCACGACAGTTTCTCACGAATCTCCATTACGATAATGATTTTCTACCATTCGTCTCGCCAAGTATAATCTGATTATCAAAATCCCATAGTGCGTAGAAAAATATACTTTTATAGCTGTCTTTAGGAACTTCGATTGACAGCAAACTGGTGTCTCACCGATGAGATACTCTTAAGAAAAATGAAAGAGACGCGCAATCTTCTAAAAATTACTGCGACGCAGTGGTTAAAGATCACTGTGTTACACTGCCTCTATGATCTGCTTAATTTCTGTAATACATCATGTCCTCGAGTAGCGAGATTTTTCTTTAGCAATGCCGAAGTAATTGCATACGGACGATATTCGTTGTACGTTACTAATCTGAGCAACTGTGGCACTCTGGTCACCGGCATTCGATGATCACCATGACCCCCCGGCAGAGAGGACGAGCTGCAGTCACGGATGACCAACGGCGGCAGCCGAGGTATTAAAACGGGATCGTGCGCAGAATTTCTGGTAGCATTTCGAAAAGTGATTATGGCAACGAGAGGGGGGAGGGGGGAGGGGAAAAATGGGGATACAGACCGGCGAAGGGAAGAGGATCGCTCGTGACTATAGTTGGATCTTGCGAAACGAGTTACATAAACTGCGGCAGGAAAATGAGGATATAGATCGGCGTATAGATCGGAATATAGATCGGGAAATCAAAGAGCGTAATTGCTCGGCATCGTGTGGCCGTAATTGAGCCCGGACGCATGAATCGGGAATGGTTAGAAAACTGATTATTGATCAAACCGAGGCGAGCCAAGGAACCCGGTTGACTTAACAGAACCGACGTTGCGTTCAGGTAGAACAAAACCAGAAGCAAAGCATGCAACCTTCCCTGCATCACGAACCTCCTTTAATCAAACCAATCTCCCCCCACCGATAAACGCGAACGAAGAAAATGGCCCCGGATCGATCCTACGAGCCGGCCAGGGACTTCGTTAAAGAGAGGAATAAAAAGCCGAAGAAAAGGAGAGGAAAAAAAATGGAAAGGAAAGGGAAAAGGAAAAGGAAAAGGTAGGGAGAAGGCGGTGGGGGTAGGGGGGGCTGGAAAAAATCTCGAATACGTATCCCGTTAGCCGGTTCGCGATTCTCGCGAGATCCTCCTTAATTCCCGCGGCGAGTCCAACACAGAAGAGACTCGACCTCGACTCGTCTGCGTCCGCGATCCTTTTACTCGTGATTTATTCGGTGATCGTTGTTGCGTGCGTCTTCAACAGCTGACTTGCCACGTCCTTTAACGGCCTGGGACCAGTATTTTTTATTTCCTCCTTTCGAAACGCGTCCTTGCCGGTGTCAAGTTCGCACTCGGGCCCACGTAACGCGATCGTCTCTCGCTCCCTCTCTCGGTTCTCTCCCGTTCTTTCTTCGCTCCTCGGAGCACAGCCTCTCTCTTTCCGCACGGGGCCCGACTGCGAGCCTGGCCACGATTAATCGAGAGGATTAAGGAATCGAGCAGGAAATTCAGCTCGAATCACGCGGAATGTCGATTAAAAACTGCTCAACGCGAGCGTTGATTACGCTCGAGCTCTTGGTCGAGAGGAAAAAAGAAAAAGAGAAAAAAAGGAGGGGGAGAGAGAGAGAG